TTGAACTCACAATGATCCTCTTGCCTCAGCCACTGGAGTGCTGGGATTATAGGTGTGCACCACCATGCCCTGCTTGAAAGTCCATTTTCACCCCCGGAATGTCATGCATAGAGAATGGCTAACACCCAGGAAGAGACACTTAGATGAGATCACTAAAGAGCAAACATTACAAGAAGCTAGAAAACGGTTCCCTCTTCAGCTGGCCATGTGGGGGGACCATTACCTGAGGTAACACTGCAATCGTTGACTACCAAGTAACTCCTTATAACTCTGCTGTATTTTCTCCCTCACACTAGCTGAAGATGCTGGTTTCTTATTCCTTTAAGGGTGTGTAATCATAACCAAAACATGAAGTGTCACCTTTGAGGCCCGGGGTGGCAGGCAACCACCTTCCTTTCTAATCTTTACTATGCCCCATCCTTAGCCAGCGCAGAGACATCCGGATGAGTGGACACAGACGTGCAGCTCTCCGAGCTGCCGTTCCTAAGGCCTCCAGGATGTGTTGCTCATGCAGACTTGACCCTTGCTCCTCCTGAAGCTTCCTCCCTTCTCTTCTGTAGGATGGATGAGGAGTCACCAGACGAATTGCTCTTCAAAGACCACAGCTTCTCCTCCGACCTGTTGAGGCAGCTCAATGGCTTGAGACAGAACAGGATCCTGACTGACGTGTGCATCTGTGCAGGCAGCTGGGAGGTTCCCTGTCACCGCAACGTGCTGGCCTCCAGTAGCCCCTACTTCCGGGCCATGTTCTGCAGCAACTTCCGGGAGAGCAGTGAGGCCAAAGTGTGGCTGAAAGGCATTGCCTGGGTGGCTCTGGAGCAGGTGGTCGCCTACGTGTACACCGGGGAGGCGCGCATCATCGCCGGAAACGTCCTCCCCCTGATGGAGGCAGCCTCCATGCTGCAGTACCCCAGGCTTTTTGAGGCCTGTTCCTCATACCTGCAGAGCCAAATGGCCCCCAGCAACTGCCTGGGCATGATCAGACTCTCGGAAGTTCTAAGCTGTGAGACCCTCAAAAAGAAAGCTTGGGAGGTGGCCCTGACGTGCTTCCCTGAGGTGGCTGCATCAGCTGACCTGAAGGAACTGTGTGCTTTGGAGTTGAGAGACTACCTGGGAGACGACAGGCTCTGTGGGGAGGAGGAGAAGGTGTTTGAGGCCCTCATGGTTTGGGTCAGGCATGACCTCCAGGCCAGGAAGTGCTATCTGCAGGAACTGCTGCAGCAGGTCAGGCTTCAGTACGTGCACCCGGCCTTCTTCCACCACTTCATGGCTGGCGACGCCCTCCTTCAGTCCTCGCCTGCATGCCAGGCCTTCCTGGAGGCAGCCAGGAGGCAGGTATTTTCTGTGTGTGGTGCTAGCACCCCAGACTGCAGGCCCTTGTGGCGCATCCCTCCAAGAAGCTCTTACCAGGACTTCCTCATCCTTGTGGGTGGCAGGAAGGACAATCAGCAGACCACCAGGGACGTCCTGCTCTACAGTGCCCAGACCGGCCAATGGCAGAGCCTGGCCCAGCTCCCCACCCGGCTGTACAAGGCCTCAGCAGTGACCTTGCACCGGAGCATCTATGTGCTGGGTGGCATGGCTGTTAGCGCAGACCAGAGTCTGGTCAGCCACAATGTCTACATCTTCTCCTGGAAGCTCAACCGGTGGAGGCTGGGAGAGCCCATGCTGGCAGCCCGATACTCTCACAGAAGCACGGCCCACAAGAACTTTATCTTCTCCATCGGGGGCCTAGGGGGTGGACAGGAGCTCCTGGGCTCCATGGAGAGATACGACAGCGTCTGCAACATCTGGGAGAGCATGGCCAGCATGCCTGTAGCAGTGCTCCACCCTGCTGTCGCCGTGAAGGACCAGAGGCTCTACCTTTTTGGGGGAGAGGACATCATGCAGAACCCTGTGCGCCTCATCCAGGTAACTAGCCGGCCCCTCCTGTCATGTAACTGTGAGAGTGCAGACACAAATGCACATAGATGCTGCATGCACACATATGCACACACATGTGCATTTGCATGCTCACAAGTACATGTGTGCACACATGCATAAGCACACAGATGCTTTTAAGCACATATATGCATTGCGTATGTATACGCCTATATACACACAGACACACCTATGCACGTGAACACACACACACACATTTTTCTCTTGCAGGGAAAGAATGGAAGGTGGAAGGAAAGAAGGAAGATATTTGTTTGTTTGTTGCGGGTACTGGGGATCAAACTCCAGACCTTGCGCTTGCCAGGCAGGTGCTTAAGCCAATGAGCTATCTCTGCAGCCCAAAGGAAGGCGTTTGTGAGCAGGACTGTTTTCAGCTCATATACTCTTTGTGTCAGACCCAACCCACAAAGAGTTTACCTTCATTTGAGGGAAGATATACCACTGAACGTCAAATAACGAAATCTTACGTGACTTTGGCAGATGCTTCTAACAGATACCACTAAACACTTAAAATTCGGAAGCCTTGTTCCACACCTGTTACCAAATCCCCAGGAACCTGACCCCAGACCTGCTGCATCAAAATCTCTTTGTGTGACACCTCTTTGGGGGGTTCTCCGGTACACTGGTTGGGAACCCTGCCTTCAGTGAAAGGAGATATTAATTTCGCTAACAAGCTCTCTGAGAAGTGTGACGAATGAAGGCTAAATTTCAAAACAGTAAGTGATTTCCAACTTTATGCAAGTTTCCAGTAATCCCTGCACTCATCCACTGACACGAGAAGCTTGAATAACAAGCTTATCTCTATGGGCAATCTAGGAGACTGCGCTTTGTTCATTTATAAGCCTTATATTGAGGGCCAGCCACTGCTGAGGCCCTGGGGACATAGGAGGAAGGATGAATTACAGTGAACCCTCAAAGAGCTTGTAAGACGACTACAGCTCAGAGTCTGAATAGTGGGGTGCTCTGAGAGCACACGGGGGGATTCAAGGGCACGTCAGAGTTCAGGGAACCACTAAAGAAACCTGGGAGGCTGGCTTAAGCGGGCTTGAGCGGAGAAGCAGAGGCACGGCAGGTAAGAACAGAAGAGGAGGGAGAGTGGATGCCAAGAGAGTGCGTAAGCGGGAGGGTGCAGGAAGCCTGTAGCTGATGAGGAAATCAGCTGTCTGCTAAGGGAGCGTCCTGGAGGGAGCCTGTGTGCAAAGGCACAGGGACAACTGAAAGCAGGGCAAGTAGCTGCTGGCTGTGACGTAAAACAGGAAGAGGGCAGAGTGTGCAAGGGGCAGGCACAGGTAGTAGCCTCCGCCAGTCTCCCTCTGCCCCTTTAAGCTACCCAGCAGCCCTTGCCTCTGAGCCTCTCCTACCACAGTCCTAGAACATTCTTGAGAGGTGCGTGTGTGTAGAGATGAGGCTGGTCTGGCAAGGCTGTCTAGGTCTTGTCAAGGAAGTTAGATGGTAGCCAGACTTTCCCAGAGAGCAAATTGGTCAAGCAATGGCCGTGACTCCCCCACATGGCTGACCCTGACAAAGGAGCTACAAACTGCCGTGCAAGGTTTCAGGATAAATCCTGAGGGGATGTGACTGACCTTATCAGATACAAAAGCTACATTTCTTATTATATAGGTCTTGCTTTATCTTGGTCTTAACCATCCAGCAGAAAAGTATAAAAACAAAGTATAAAAAGTAAACCCATATTAATATGCTGAGCTGTAAAAGGCTCAAGTCAACAACTTCTGACATTGCCAGTCTTATGGAAAACCCACTACTTTTAAGGACTACCGAACTATATTGGAATATTTTGCTGAATTCACACCTCTACAATATTTAAATGACAATGGAATACCTTCTTTTACAAAACTAAACAAAAAAAGAGGATACAAATGAACAGCCATTTTGTATCTGTATATTCAAAATAGTTAGGATAGATATACAGCTGCATTCTCTTAATTCAATGAATAGAGATTTGTTCTAATAGTGTTTGTGGACAGGATGTCATGTCTGCATCTTGTACAATGAAAAACCACTAAGACAACAGTATGCAATGTATTAATTAGTGAAACTGTGCTAGTAATTGATTTTGAAACTGTCTCATTGGTTTTCTTTCTCAATAAAATTATTTTTTTTTTAAAAAAAAAAAGAGAGATTGTAGCCAGAGAGCACAGCATAGAGACGCATCGAAGGATTTCACAGCTCAGTGAGGTCAGCAAATTGGCACTTGAAGACAAGCCCTGGAGAAGCCTTCTACAGAACCGAGTGAAGTGGGACGAGTTACAGGCTCTTTAAGAAGTCTGGGCGAGAGCTGGGGATATATCTCAGTGGCATACGTTTCTGCCTGGCACTGGCAAGGTCCTGAGTTCAATCCCCAGTACCAGAGGGAAAAAACTCTAGGCAAGAAGTGGCTGATCACGTAGGCAGGCACTTAATCTTTCCAGAATTACTGTCCCCAGCCCCACTCACTTACTTGACCTGAGAGACACGTTCTGTTCCCCTCCAAGCTCTGTCTGTACCAAAACAGATATGACAAAGTGCTTCTATGTAAAGCTACAGTCCCGCCCTCTTCTGTGACTGTTTTCCAAAATGCTATCAACAAATATGCTGATGATTTCCCAATGCAAATTTGTCATCCAGTTCCTGAGAGGAAAACACACAGCTCAAAAAAGATTTCAGCCAGCATATCAAGAAAGGCTTGTACAATCAGCAAGACCTTTGCAAAGCCAAAAAATCCTCAATCTCTCAAGGACCCCATTATAGTGCAGACATGGGAAGAGGGAAAGGGGTACATATATTAATTTGAATGTTTTTCTTATCTACCTAGCCCTGGCTTTGAAATGGAAATTTTGTTCATTTGAATATAATTTAAAATGAATGCTTGGAGCTGCTTGGGAGCTGTCCTGGGATAGGCTCCAGGTTTTCGTCCCAGAATGGTTCATCTGCACATGTGCATTCTTTTAAGAACTATACTTCTATGGAGTCACTATGCAGACTAACCGTGTGTGTCCCTTTCTACCTGGCCTTCTTTCGGCCTCTGTTTGTAGGTGACATCAGACCAGTCCTTTCCCCTGAGGGAGTATAGCTTCCTCCCATGGTCCAGGGCCACCACCGCTTACGCTCACTGCAGTTTCTGCAGGGTATCAGGAGGACCAAAAGCAAATGTTCAATCTATTTTTAAAACCAAACTCAAAGCCGAGAGAGAACAGAAAGCTAGGAGACAATTAGTCACCAGAGTGAAATGCAGCCAGTGTTTGCTTTTGTTCCAAAGGTCCCACTTGCAGGAGAGTGGGTCACCTGCACAACGTGTTCTCCGATGAAGCCCTGAGGAGGCCGCACAGCCACTGCAATCCGGCGCCAGCACTCAGCCTCCTCAGGGCTGCCTGGCTCCAAGGGCTGACAGGCGGCCTCAGAGCTCTCTGGTATCGAAGCCTCTGTCCAGAGCGGTCACTCTGTTGTGGCCTCGAGCAAGCACGCTAGTGAGTACAGACTCTGGGCTTAGCCAGGCTCCCTGCTCCTCACTCCAAGCCTCAGTGGTCTAATACAGCGGCGGCAAACCTATGGCACCAGGGTTATTTGTTTTCTTGAAGACAAAGGATGTTAGTGTATGACTTCTGTCTTCTAAACTAAAACCTCAGTATTCAGATTTATTTGCAGGGTCTGCACTTTGGGCACCTGGTCTCTAAAAGGAGACTCTAGGGGCCGGGGAGGTGGCTCAGTGGAATAAGCACTTCCCTGGCAAGCACAAGGGCCTGAGTTCAATACCCGGTTCTGCAAAAAAAAAAAAAAAAAAAAAAAAAAAAAAGAATGAAAACATTGATATACAATAAAAGGAGACTCTAATCTAAAAATTAGATGGAGTATTATATCTACCTCATAAGATAAAGGTCAAATTTTTGCTAAATGATAAAATAAAGTCTTCGATAATGCTCAAAATTACATTGATTTATTTAGTACAGGGTTTCACCACGCAACTCGGGCTTGCAGTGATCCTCCTGTCTCAGCCTCCCCAGCACTAGGATTACAGGCATGCACCACCACACCTGGTTTCAGTAGTCAGCCCAGTGTGGGGCCAGCGTGGCATTCGGTACCAGGGATCGAACCCGGGTCCTTGAGCTTGCCAGGCAGGTGCTGCTACCTGGCCCTCAAAATTATACTTTATATGGAAAGAATTTTCAGTGATAACTACTGCCATGCTCCTCCTTTCTCTGTTCCTTTTTTTCTTACGTGATGTCCATTCTACATCTCTTGTGCTAAATCTTACCTGTGGTGAGCCAGTGTACATTTGACATTAAAGGTTTGAACTTCAGATGTAGGGCCAGGTGATAGCTCTGTGGCACAGCATGTGCCAGGTAAGCACAAGGTCTTCAGTTGGATTCCACGTACCAAAAACAACAACAAAAACCAATAAGCTTCAGTGTCTCACAAGACACGTTCTATCAACCAGGATGTGCCCCACTATGCCAGAGAACAGAGAGGGAGTCTGCCTTCTGCTCCTTGCAATCTCGTCTCTGCTTTGTGCTCCTTTTCCTTCCCCTCAGACTCTAATTCATTTCAAGCATAAACTGTTTAAAGGCCTCCCTTCCCTTACTTGCCAAAGGGTTTATTTCCAGCCATATAACCCTCTCAGATACACTGGAAGATTTAGACATTTTAACATGAACCTGAACTACAAACTTATCAGAAAAAAAAAAAAATCCTTAATTTTCCAAAGACCCAAGTTGCTCCTTTTTTCATTAAAAGTAAGTAACTATTCCAAGCAAGGTATGTGGATGCAGAAATCTTGGTCCATTCTTTGGAACACACTCACTGATTTCTTGGGTGCACAAAGACCAATGTCTCTCTCATTTAATAGTATTTCATGTATTGAAAGTAAGACAGTGACATTCTAAACACCGGAAAGAAGTACAAAGAAAAGCCTCACTCCCAGATCACCCTCTAAACAACTACTTCTGCGTTTTTAAAAGCTTTCAGGTGCAATGCCACTGTCCTATTCTCCTGCAGGTCTACCACATCGCCAGGAACACATGGTTCAAGATGGAGACGAGGGTGGTGAAGAACGTCTGTGGCCCCGCGGTCCTGCTCAGGGAGCGGATTGTCATTGTGGGAGGTGAGTCTGGGGGGCGCGGGGAGTGGCGTGGCAAGACATGGCACCTCCTGTGGACAAGGGTCACGGACAGACTGATGCTGTCCTGCACATCCCATCCTCTCAGGGCCCTGCAGGCAACCTGGCCACGCTCTGTCTTCATCCAGAAAGGTTTCCCTGCCCTCCGCTCTAAATGAGGGCTAGAGTGATACCTAATTCACAGATGGTAAAGTACACAAGAGATTAAGGCCTAACTGTCACAGACACATGGTCAATAAGAAGTGTTTGCTATTGTTAATAACACTGATTACTAATGCATCTGGGATTGTGTAATGTGCATGGTTAAGAGAGCTGGCCTGGGCGTCAAACCTGGGTTCAAATCCTGACTGCAGTACTAACTTGCTGACTACTATTTGGAAAGTTAGTCATCTTTTTATGCCTCAGTTTGTCTATCAATAAAATGGGGATCCTTAAAGCACCCACCAGATGGAGCTGTTGTAGGGACCCATTCCTGAGGTTCCAAAGGCTCCTTCTTTAGATTGTTGTAGCTCCAGGTTGGGCAGAGAAAAGCAAAAAGTGCCAATAAATATGAGTAAGCCACTAGCCCGGGGAGGCTGCTGTCACTCTACACCGAACCCACACTGTTCCTGGGCTCTTCACTCAAGAAGCCTATGCTCCTGTGCTCCCTTAATTTGGGGTTAGCTCTGCCCAGGCCCAGCCATGACTGAGCGCATCAATAGCCCGTGGTTTAGTTCAGGGTCCCAGCCTTGCGTTAGCGGGGCGCAGACGCCTCCCGGCACTGCTCATCCAGCCCTGGCTGAGCAACACTCTCATCACATCTTATGTGGTTTTCAGGTTACACACGGAGGATCCTCGCTTATGACCCTCAGTCCAACAAATTTGTCAAATGCGCAGATATGAAAGACCGGAGGATGCACCACGGGGCCACCGTGATAGGTGACAAGCTGTACGTGACAGGCGGGCGGCGGCTGACCCCAGACTGCAGTATCGAGGACTCAGCCTCCTTTGACTGCTATGACCCCGAGACAGACACCTGGACCTCGCACGGCCAGCTGCCTCACACACTTTTTGACCACGCCTGCCTAACTCTGCAGTGCATGCCTTACATGTGCACCCACCCATGAGGTCCACGGACTTGTCCTGGCCAAAGGGCTGTCCTTTGTGAGGGACAGAAACTTGGCTCCAAAGAGCCGACCCACAGAAGGGTGCAGGGAGCACTCGCAGGTCTGAAGGGCCAGAGTCTGGGCGCCTGGAGCCGGGTGTTCTGCGGTCAGGGCTCTTCCCACTACCTCTTCCTTTCCTCTCTACCTCATCTCTGTCGGGCCTTTTTCTGCCACTGAGCTTCTTTCTCTGTAGAAAATAAGAGCAATGATACCCATAAACCTGACTCAGAATCTCTAGCTCTGCTCTATTATTACGTGCAGATTAATTTTAAGAACACTTTCTGTCTTCCACGTCTACCTCCCGAGCCAGTCGCTATTGCCTGGGATTCGGCTACCTTTCCTGGCTAGTCCTGGACCATGTCCAGGTTTGATTACCAGCCCACACAAACTTATCCTGGGAGAATGAAACTGTTCCCCAAAGGAAAACAAAAAGCACCTCTGCCCAGAACATCACTGAAATCTGGAGCAAAAACGTTGAGAGGCCTAAGAGGACCTCCAGACGTGGCTGGTCCAGGTGGCAGTGTGAGAATTTTGCCGTGTCCGTGTTTCCCTGCCCTCTATGGATGGAAACACTGAAATTCCAAAGAAGTACATGAAGTTTGGTATCCAGTGTTTGAAAAATTATCTTGTACTGCAAGACACAAAAACAGAATAAAGTTGCTTCTGGTGCCAAATGATGCTTGTCTGCAGCCCCCAGGGAGCTATAAACCTGCAGAATCAATCTGGATTTTCATTTTGGTAAATGTTATGAGAATTGTCCTCCTATGGAACGCCAACAAATTCCTTCAGTGGTTATAGCAACCCCTGTCCTCCAAACGCCAGAGCTCGCTGTCCCTGAGACCCTTCTGTCTCCAAGCGCCTTCTACACTGTCGTCACCCTGAGCCAGGAATTAGCCCAAGTGCGGCAGAGCACCTCTGCTCCGCAGGCATGTTGCTGTCACGTGGCAGGATGAGTAGAAACCAGGCCAAGCCCCATCTGAAACAAACGGATGGGGATTCTCCAAGGTGGGGCCCAGCCCGCTCGACGTCTCAAGAGTTTCCCGGTTGGTTCTGTTATGTGTTGCGGAGATCCTCAGCCACGGGCCCTGAACACTTTCATGGCTGGTTGCAATCCCATCCTGGCCCGGCCTGCCCTCACCAAGCCCAGCACTGTGTGCCAAGCCCTCACCGCACCAGTGGAAGCATCTAAAATCAGCCTTGCTTCCCTGAGCCTGGCCCCAGAGTCCTCCTGTGCTGGTGGCTCTCTCCCCACCCAGTTCTCTAGGTCACACTCTGGACCTCTCTTTTCTTCCTACTCTGTATTCTGGGCACCTGGGCCTCTTGCTTGGGTCTGGTCCAGAGACAGCCTAGACTCCCAGGCTCTGCTCCTTACCCCGCATGCTGCCCCCACGCTGCTGGCCATCACATCACTCCGACCGACTCTCCTGCCACCCTCTGGGCTCTCAACCCCGTATCTCCCTGAATCTGCTCGGAAAGGTACTAGCGGCCCTGCAGTGCCACAATTGCCCCTCTGTTCCCACCTCCCATCCTGCACGAGTGGTGAGCCACACAGGGTGCTGCCGCCTCCCTCCATCATGAACAACCTCTCATGGGCTCAGCCCTGTTCCCTCCCTCTTGCTTCCCCTCCTCCCCTGCAGTTTATCCTCCTGTCCTGGCTCTCCTCGCTGCTAAGTGGCCGTGCGTAGGGGCTCAAGCCTCACACCTTCTCGGATGTGCCTCCTGAGGGTGACTTCATGGTCATGAATTTGTATTCTATGCAAAAAAAAAAAAAAGAAAGAAAGAAAGAAAGA